TTGCAAAAGTCAATTACTGCACTGGGTGACCTTGTTACTTGGTTGTATTTTACTAAGAAGGCTACAACCCTGTAACAATATAAGCATATCACAGGTTGTAATGCCTAATTAAGTCCTTAAAAAAATAAAATTGTATCAAAATTATTTAAATCAAATTATTTAAATTAAAAACCTAAATTTTCCAAATTTAACAACTCTTTTTAAAGTTACTTTGATCAGCTAAAATTTAAAATTTATATTTGATACAATAAGTTTACCAAAATTGCTAAAAAAAATAAATTAATTTCAATTGATCAAAATGATTGCAAACATCTTATTACATTGAGAGATGCTTAAGAACAGTTTTTATAAATTATTTATAAAATTTTTTACATCAATTTAAATCAAAAGATATAGAATTTGGTTTAATACTGTATAATAATTGTTAGAATGATGCTAAAATTGGCTGAAGCTGAAAATTTGAAGTCTTAATTTAAATCCATAAAATCACTAAAACCTACTTATACTTGTTATTATAAATTTTACTCATAAAAATGATCCCCTAATCTTAAAAAAAAAGATACCTCAAAAATTTTTAAATTTTCTTAATAAAATAGGTCAAATTTTTAGCTTCAGCCAATTTCAGCTTTAGCTACCACAATAATTTTTAGTTGAACATATAATATTTGAATTATATCTAAATGCCGATATTGATTTGAGTTAATTATAATTTAACATTTAATAGATAAAAAAAAATAACTCGTTTTTTTTTTGGATAAAGTAACAAAATCATTAAGTAGTAGATCGCAGTTGAAAGGTATAAATTTCATAGTAAAAATCGGCGAAGAATTACCGTATTACTTTCATATAATGTTGAAATGCCAAAAGTTTTTGGCAATATATAGTTATGAGGAAGAAATGTGATCTGCTATAATTCTGCCACTATTAAAATACCTTGCTCTATAATATTTGTTAGAAACTCAAAGAAGGTTTACTTGGCATAAAAAAAACTTTTTATTGTAAGCTATCTGCATTCCAACCCTATTGGAAAACCTATATTAACTTCTGACAATTTCTACTATTAATTTGTTATTTTTTATACCATTTAACTATTAAATTATTTACTCTTAGTCAAAAATTTTAATTTTCAGAATGTATCCAATATGAAACATTCCCTTCCTCATTTAAATAGTTTAATTTATACATTTTTCAACCTTACCATTTTCCATATAGGTATTTTTTCGTAATTGTTTTTTTTCTTCGATCGATTACATATCAGAGCCAAAGATTGATTCATAAAGGTATGAAATAAAATAACCATTTTTTGCCGTTTATAACTCAATTGTTGATTGTATGTGATTACGAGGATAAGAAATTTCATGTTACACGAGCATTGAATACGCCCTAATATATATAAATAGAACTAGAGTAAATGATATAACTTAAAAATGTTTGGATTAACAAATAGGCCAATTTTCAATATTCACAAAAAATACCACTTGTATTCAACACTTTTGCATCATAATCATCATCAATTCAGATATTCTCGACAAAGCGAAAATGGTCAATCTAAATATAATGGCTATTGGAATTTACAATTGCAACAGGTTGGAAACTTAAAATAAAAGAATGCTTATCGTTAAACATAAATATATTTGACAGTATTACCACTGTATAGCCTGCACCCTCATCATATTTACAAAATCCTTCGTACGAAGAACATCATAATACTGATATCGATATAGCATCAACAGCAATAAATACAAATTCACCAGAGGAAATCCAACCAGTAATGACAATTGATGGAGAATTGATACCTCTAAAGCCTGTTTTTCCTGAAAATTGTTGCATGAGGTAAAATATTATGAAAAACGGTGTTCTTAGAAACTCACTTTGCTAATATACTATCTGATAACGGTTCGAATTGATAATCATTAGCGGTTGCGCTCATTGGTATGCTATATTTAAGAATATTAAACCTTTTATTTATTAAAATGCAAGCATAATTATATTTTAATGTTATGATTAAGTGTTTTAGACATATATCAGGATGACTTAAAAGACTGGAAAGAAAAGACTACTCAAATAAGAGAACGATTATTGAAAGAGGGCAAACCATTACCACCAATTCTAATGCAATTTAATAATGATAATACAGAAGAGGATGATATTGATCCTGGAATGAAAGCATTTCTGGAGTTGAAAAAAAAATTGGCAGGAACTTCATCTTAGAGAATTATGAGTGCACTTATTATAAAATCATGTTTTTAATGTCAATGTGTTAAGTGTTGTGTAATATAAAAGGCGGAAAACACATTATACAGTCAGACCTCTCTAAATGCATAGCCGAGGGGCGGCCAAAAATCTTGCATTTAGAGAGGTATTGCATTTAGGATATAAAAATCTATGTGTTATATGAGTTGGGGATAAGGCTATGTATTTATAGAGGTCCTTCGTAGACTATGCATTTAGGGAAGTCTGAATGTATTTACTGACAAGGATAACATTGCGCAAACGTTGTATCTGCATAACTTGTAATTTTCAAATTTCTAATTTATTATATCAAGCTATAAGCTCGAGAACATGAGCTAATCACACCGACCATCTTTTGGACCATCTCTCCATCTTTCATCAATTTTACTACAATCAAAAATATCTTTACCTAATGTTTCGTTCACTATATTATGCATTTCACATAACCATTTTCCTAACGCCCAACGGCTTTCAACTTTTGGAGGTTTTGATTTCATTTCTTCTCTTAAATGTTCAGCACAAATATTACAAGGATAAAATTGTGAAAAAGCGGATAAGAAAGTTTTCATTGAACGCTGTTGTGCGTAGGATGGGACTTCTGGATAATAGGCAGCCATTGTATGCAAGAATGTCCAAGTAGATCGACCAAGTTGTTCTACATCAGGTGGACAATCCGGAGGTAACGTTGGAGTAGAAGAGTTGGCATCATCTTTGGTAGAGTTTGTTTCATTCATGTTACCATTTGTGATGGTAGAAACACGTTGTTTTTTTTTTTCTTGCTTTGTCCAATCTTTGAACGCAGTACATACTTTACATGGTGGTTCCATTTTTTTTAGGGCTTAGATGTCACTGATTACCTAAGTCATATAAAACTGTTTCACTAACCTGTAATAGTATTAGCGATCACATTTTGTATTACCCTTTACTCCAATAAATTTCGGCCGGGTGTTATCGTTAGATTAGCGATCACGGGGTAGGTTCCAGGCATATCGATATTGTCGTAATTAGATTTGTGATTTGAACCGGCTGGGCCCGAATAAATTTCGGATAGTCGGTTGAGTAAATTCTTAATCGGTTGACCCGGTACACCCGGTTGAGATATTACCAAGAGAGAGCAACGATTCCGAAAAGGTTCGAAAAGAAACTGAATGAACATAAGATATGAGCAAAGTTAAGACGAAAATTTTAGTGAAGCTCCGAGATAAAAACAAAAAGAGCATGGTGGACCAGTGTTGGCCTATGACCTGTTATGACCTACTACTAATTATATGTTATGACCTTATGACTTGTTATGACTTATAAAA